TATTTACTCACTTACTGAAACTTAAAAACTGAGTCTCTAAAGGCTGTCATTTGAAGGAGGTAAATAAAAATGTATACAATTTTAATACAATTTGGGGAGCCAGAACAGAGTTATACCAGAAAATGCGGTGTCATTATAATTCATTTCCAAACAGCAAGTGAATACTCTGATATTGGACTGAAAATGATTTCATGTAGATTCATCTGAAATTAACAGAAAAATAACAACAACAAAATATAATCTAAATAGAAACCACAATTTAAATTTTATTATGCAATTCTTAGAAATGTAATAGTCTAATGAACACACGTTACGTGCTACACATTACCTATATTATCTATTTATATCTGTTTGTAAAATTCATCACATGCTCCATCTGCCGATGCGGTTGCAACACTTTGCAGCTGCCGTCATGGCAGATACCGTGCTGTGCTTGTCTTTAACACCATCAGTAGATGTAGAATCAGATGAGTGTGCAAGTTTTATTCTGAGGAGGATTCAGAGGAACATCAGCACTCTTGTGCACCCTACAATGGAATCTTTGCACAAAGGGCAAACTGCAGAGTGGATAAAAACCCCCCACAGGTTTACAGTCACAATTCCCAGACCAAGGTCAACAGCTTATTCCTAGCTGAAATATGTGAATGCATGCTTTATTTACTTTTGCGTTTTGCATTATGTTGAGCTTACAACTGTTGATTAAAACTCTTTTGGGAATTTGTGATTTATGATGCTGGGCTATAATAAAATTCCATTTTTCTTCTCAAAGTACTGTCTGGGGGTGTACACTTTCTCATAGACACACACAAACGCTCACATTACTGCTTTGTCATTGTAACAAGTAGGCTGCAGGCTGTGCAGACCAGACAGGTATGAAGCAGACTTTACAAGAATTATGTTTTTCCATGAACACATTTTCAACTTTGCACTTTCAGGTATGTTTCATTAAAATTCAGAAATGATGGGGGAAGTTAAGCATTTAACCTGCCAAGTTTGAGGTTAACTGTTGTCTCAACGGAAATATAAGATTTACATTTTATCAACACACGATCTCTTAGCAGATGACCAAAGTTTTCCTTACTCACAGTCAGCAGTCTCAGGTTCACCCACATTACATGTTCTAGCAATACAACATATACACCCCACTCTGAGACTTCAGATACTTACGCACACAATCATTTTCCCATTAGTTAATGCACTGTAAAAGTCTTTTTCTTTGTGAATTTCTACAGCACACAGTGGCAAACAGGGGTGAAATGTTTCCCAGATGAGCAGAAAGTCCAACCACATACATTGTCAGTGCTCAGGTTGCAATGGTGACATCACTGGTCACCATTCACTCATGTATTTGTCCAGAGCCATCGGCAAAGACGAATTACTGAATGGCCCAAGAGGTCATGGCGTCCCTAAACCTTGGGGTGGTATGCTCTGTAGGACAGAGGACTTTTGAGGCGTCAGTGCCCAGGGGCACTTCACCGAATAGTCTTTTCATGCCCTTTACAATGGATTAAACACTGACACTTTTGAAAAGCCAGATCCAACCTTGATCAGGTCTGTGAGTGAACAGCCCTTTAAAGCCAACTTGTTCATTCATGATAATGTCATTATAAATTTATCTTAAGGAGCCCAGCTTCAAATGAATTGTGTGATAGGAAGGTCAAATTTTAGGTATATTATGTAAGTGATAATACACATTGTGATGTCCGTTTATTGGTAACGAGAGGCAGAAAACCACAAAGTGTTTCCTCTCTTTCCTCTGGTTAATGGTTCCATACGAGGACACCTTGTGCACTGAGAATACCAGCATCTTTATGCTAGTAATGTAAATAAAGGCTGTCTCCAAATTGGTAAACATCATTCAAAGCTTGTTTGTTTGCTTAGGGTTGTTTTGCCAGCAAAAACTCACAGCACTTGATGAGGATTAGTCCCCAAATTGTCTAAAAAAAATCCAAGGAATATTAAGATAAAAACTATGAGAGAAGCTCTTTTGGGTTAGTGATGCTAATTCATCTCTAGCTTGTATTCCCACATACAGTCTAGGCGCTACGCAGAACATTGCGAGTACTCTCTGTATTCTGTGGGAAAGAAGCTGGTGTGTTTTTTATTGTTGTCAGACAACAATGGAGGTCTATGGCCCAGATGAATAAGATAAACCAGGTTCTGAATTCACAGACGTTACGGTGAATACACAAATTTCATTGTTGGTTTTAGCCTCTGTATGGGATTTGTGGAAAATAACCAAAACTTATAAAATCACTGGCCTTATCCTTTAATTTCAGGGACAAACAAGAGCACTGTAGGTGTTGGTTCCCTAATAGTTAAAAAGGCAGGTTTATGATCACAGGGTTCCCAGTTTCATTCGTCCAACCAGCAGGATGAATGTGGGAGGACAAAGTGACCACCACTGAGGTTCCCTTCAGCTGCTCTGTAGCCAGCAGGGCATGTTGAACTGGGCAGCTTTCAGGTACAGCGTTCTCTGAGCAGTCTGTTAAATATTCACATTTTGCTGTATTGAGTTTTTGCAGTCATTAAATGACCAGTAATATAGGAATGGTAAACCATAAAGAGAGATAGAGGGTGAAACATCAGGGATAAGGAGAATGATAAACTCAGTGTTGTTCTACAATATGAACAGATTTAAGGAGTGTTCTTTCTTCCCATGAGCCAGTGAAATAGCAACTCAACACTAAGTTACCACTGATTGAAATGATCAGACACACCACAGTATCTACATATACAAAACAGACAGAAACTCATCAGCTTAATTTTGTTCACTTTAGACAAATCAGTTTTACTGTAAGGAGGCATACATTTAGTTTAAAGTCCACTTTCTATTTTTTAATATCAATTTCATGTGTTTGGTTTTATCTTCATTTTAATGCTCTTAATCTTAATAGATGTAATCTCAACATCTTTGTGGCTAGCTGCACACATGCACCACATTCTTTCTCTGCAGCTATGATGCACAGATCACTGTGCTTTTATCTCATTTTGAGGCAAAGATAAAAACCTAGGAAAGTTGTTTCATTTCACGTGTGACATAACAGATGAATTCACTGAATGAAAAAGTTGTGAGAATGTGATAAATGAAGCAAAAACCATATATAATCAATATGAATAAAGTTGTCAATCAAAATTAAACATTTGAACCTTCTGGCAATGCTTTTATATGACTGTTGAAGGCTATGTTGTGATAGATGTCAAGGTCAAAGGTCAAAGTGTTTATTGTCATGTGCACAGTAAGGAAACATGTTTCCCTGTACAATGAAATTCTTACTTTGCTGTCCACAATGAATGCCAAACAACACAAAGTTAAATATAAAGGAGATAAATAAACAGCATGTGAAAGAAATATAGTGAAAAATATAAGAATCTAATAAAGAGAATGTATGCTACATTGAGGCTGTATGTGCAATAGTCAGCAGTGAATGTGCAATTATGCATGTGCAAAATGAATATGTAAGTCAGATGGGATTACATGAGGTAATTCCTGATAAGAAACTCCTGTTAGCAGTTTAGGAGTCTGATGGCAGCTGGAAAGAAAGAGTTTTTCAGTCTAGAGGTAGATGTAATTTACAGATTAAACAAACCTTGCTGCTCCTCATTATTTTTACTATAAAAATGTAATATTCAAAGTTATTCTAGATACAGTATTGTGCAGGTAATTAAAATAAATTATTATTTTATAAAATAATCCAGTGACCTGCTGTATTTATCATTACCAGCAGTCAGAATCAGACACTTTCTTCAGGAACATTCGCAGCACTGAGCAGCAGTACTAACAGGACACATGGAGCAGAACTTCATTCATTCTCTCTAGCCCCACCAAGTGTTTTCAACAAGCACTTTCAAGGGTCATACTCTCCTTTGGTGATCTTGTAAAACAGACTCAGGAGGATTGTAGCTCTAAACAGAAGTCTGAGAGCACAGATCTCATAGATCAGACAGCCAAGAGCCCAGATATCAGACTTGGAGCTGTATGGGACATCCTGGTAAAGCTCCAGGCTGAGGTAGCTAGGTGTCCCAGCATGTGTGGAGGCCATATCAACTGTGTTGCTCATGACTTTGGATATCCCAAAGTCCCCTAACTTTACCACCCCTTGCTTTGTTAGCAGTACATTTGAGGTTTTGATAGCCCTGTTTAGTATTTTAGCCATGTGTGTATAATTTACAGCCATAGTGACCTGGACAAAACACCCCATCACAGCTTTTTCTGTGTCCCACCAACTCAGTAGCTCATCACAGTGTAAATAAATCCACCATCAGAGTTCACAAAGGCATTGCTGCATTTCACTATATGAAAGTCCACCAACCTCCTGATAATTTCAGCCTCTTGGGGGATCACCCTCTGTGTTTTTGCTGTCCTTGCATCCTCCACTTTTATCATCTTCACTGTGTACAGGCTCTTCAGCTCCACATGCCTCGTCATCAGGAACACACCTGCTCTTCCTCCTCTCCCCAAGCACAAAACCTTCTCATACTTCTCCATATTTTGAGAGGAGATGATGAATAAGGCTGTTTTTGGTAAGTAAAAACAGTGTTGAGGTATGATAGCTGTCAACAAGCATCATGGATGGTCTGTGTTCAGCCCTGTTCCCATAGTAAAAACGTTGTGACGCCTTGAAACTAGATATTGTTAGATAGTTGTTGTTTTTTTTTAATCAATGGCTTCATCATGTTCACAGTTACAAATAACATTACATTTAGTTGTTTTTTTTTCTCCAATGATCGAAAAGGACATCACCTTAAAACTAATGCATTTAAAAGACCAATCAGTTTGGGTATGGTCAATAGTCCCAGAGCCTATACAGGACAATATTATACCTTGCTTAGCAGGCTACACATACATACTTTTCACATTTGTTATCACCCTGGATGTTTATATCCTAATTCACTGTTTTATTTGAAACATTTACTTACTACAGAACATCCTTTGTGAACTACAGTATAAATAATTTCAGGTACACGACACTAGGTGGTGCTATGGACGTTAACTGGCTAGAATCTGCCAATAATGAGCTACAGAAGAAGAGCACTTTGAGCTGTGTCGGGACAGTTTCATACGCATGTTTATCACAACATAGCCTAGCATAACTTCATGCTATTCCTTTTTCATTATTCCTCGAATTTCCGTATATATTAAGATAAAATGCCACCAAAGGGAAAAGGTGGCAAGGGGGGTAAAGGTTAGTGGTTTGTTAGTTATGTGTTTATTTTTAGCTTAAAGTCGGGCACATTTAATAGCATGTAATGATATGATAATGTCATAGCTTGCTAGGTCTACTGCTTGTCATAATATTGTTGGTTTATCGGTTGTTGCATTGTCACTGTTGCTGAACCTCGGTATTGTGTAGGAGCTGCTTCAGGAAGTACAGAGGCTGAAAAGAAAGAAAAAGCACCCAAAGGAGGCAATGCTGTGAAGGTAATATCAACCTTGATGTTCCATTTCTAGTCGATGGTGTATTGCAAAAAGTCAAATGTGATACCACAGGGGGATTTTCTTTTTTACTAAGCGCTTACCTCCCGCTTTGTGGTGGGAGGTAAGGGATGAGTTGGCTCAAAGGCGAGAATTGTCTCAATGTGTGGTTGAGTGTAGGTGACAATTGTAATATTAGGAAATTAAGATAGTGACAGATGAGATATGATTTGTTCTTATAGATACTGTGTAGTGTCAAAAAGTGTGATGGGTCAAAAGTCTCATCAAATTGTATTTCTGTCCAATATCAACACCTACCAGTTTTTGTTTGTGTTCCCCCTGATGCAGCAATGGACTGCTCAAGGTTCAGGAGTTCTTCCAGTGTTTTCAGAGGAATTCCAGTAACCTCTGGCACCTCTATAGGCTTTCGAAGATTATTTTGCAACTGTAGCAAAATAATCTGCTGTTGCTGCTTAATGGTCTCCATTGTTGTTAATATCTCCCGTAGAATTGCTGTAAAATACCAACAAAACACAGTGAGTGCCAGTAACAAATTGTGAGGTTATTTATCCAATTGGCCTTGAGGCATTTCACTTAAAACTACAATGGTCAAACTGATATACATCATATTAGGGGAAGAATCAGTTTGCACCATGGATATCTGAACAGATTGTTACAATCCAACAGCTAACGGACCATCCATACAGCTATACGTCAGTACAACCAAAACGGGACCAATAACTACTGCAAAAGACTTACGCTCACACATCAGTTGGTCGTTTACCCTGGGCACACGAGGGGTTGCTGCATTTTGGAAACTTGAAGGAGAAAGTTCTGGTCTGGTGACTCATACTGGCCATGACTGCAGCCACACAGCCACACCCTTACTCCTTTGCCCGCCACACCCTTACTCCTTTGCCCAATCGCTCATCAGCCTAAGTAAGATGAACGTATGAAATTGCCACAAAACTCAAAGCTGTGTGGCGGTCTAATAATGCTGCTTCTGGGGGAGATCCCCTGTTTAGTAATGTAATGTAATGTATTTCTACAATGCCAATTCTGTTAATTGGCGAACTCACTAGCTAGAAAACGTTAGCTAACATGTGCTCAGATATTGCCCATATTTATGCGACCATTGTACACGAACGCCAGCATTATCACCTTTATTTATTTTAAACACCACCTTAACAATGTCCATTTGAAAAGCATACTTACTCAGATATTTGTTCCAACGTTTCTAAAATCCTCGTACCCTCTGAGCTCAACTGGTTGCACCAACGGTCCGGCCCGCTTCAGCAAAAGACGTGAGCTACTGAGCATGTGCAATGCCTGTCCTATGGAAACTCAGACAAGCTAGGTCACATGACCACCAAGGGTAGAACTGAATGGATTCACTCTTTGTGATTATAGCAAGTTTTCATTTTTATGTTTAACCTACTAGAATTTGAGAATATAATATGGCTGTCACAGGCACTTTTTTCTTACAAGTTTACTGAATTACAACAGCCAGATGGTATATGTCGTTTTATTGTGTGTCTGTGTGTGCATGTGTGGTTACTTGCACATTTTTTATGATTTAATTTCAGCCCACATGCCATATCTCAACCGAAACTGGCCCAAATCTGGCAACCTATACTGGCCCAGATCTGGCAACCTATACTGGCCCAGATCTGGCTCAGTGTTGGTGAGCCAATGCCGGAATTCAACCGAGTGTGCCGACACTTAGCCAGAATCGGCCCAGATCCGCTGGCTACCTGGG